TCATTTACTTAATCTATTTTTGATTATGGTAAAATATATATAAGCAAACTTTTTCATCATCCCAGATATGCACCACTGGTGGGAATAGTTTGATGGTTCCTCAAAAAGTTAAACATAGAATTACCATATGATCCAGCAATTCTACTCCTAGGTATATACCCCAAAGAACCAAAAGCAGGAATTCAGAGAGATACTTATAGACCCATGTTCATGGTAGCATTATTCATAATAACCCAAAGGTGGAAATAACCCAAGTGTCCATCAATAGATGAATGAACAAAATGTGGTATAGACATACAATGGACTACTATTCAGCCATAAAAAGGCTTTTCTCATCTTAATGCATAATTTCCTTTCCAAGACTCTAACCCACCAGATGCTTGAGGAGAGCTGGGATAGGTCTTTATATTTTCACAACACTCACCATAGACCCAAACTTACTGCAGCTGCTCAGTTAAACACTCATTGGCTTTCTGCAGTTTACTTGGTCTAGATTGAGAACAGTGGTTGTTGAACTTCAGTGTGCATCAGAATCTCCTAGAGCAGTGGCCCCAACCCTTTTGGCACCAGGGACCAGTTTCATGGAAGACAATTTTTTCATGAATGGGGGGTTTGAGGGAGGAGGCAGAGCTCAGGCAGTGATGTGTGGCCCTGTTTTCCTAACAGGCCATGGACTGGTACCAGAAAACAGCCCAGGGGTCAGGGACTGCAGTCCTAGAGGGCTTGTTAAAAAATACTGATTTCTAGGCCCCACCCTTAGAGTTTCTAATTCAGTATTTTTGGGATGGGGCCCCAGAATAAGCATTTTTTTTTTGAGACAGGGTCTCACTCTGTTGCCCAGGCTAGAGTACAGTGGTATCATTGTAGCTCACTATAGCTTCAAACCCCCTGGGCTCAAGTTATCCTCCTGCCTCAGCCTCCCAAGTTGCTGGGACTACACTACAGGCTCACGGCACCATGTGCCTAGCTAACTTTTCTATTTTTTGTAGAGATGGAGGTCTCATTCTGTTGTTCAGGCTGGTCTTGAACTTCTGGCCTCAAAGCTATCTTCCCACTTCGGCCTCCCAGTGTGCTGGGATTACAGGCGTGAGCCACCGCGCCCGGCCAGTCTGCATTTCTAATAAGTTCCTGGTGATGCTGCTGGTCTGGGAACCAACTTGGAGAACCACTGTGCTAAAGCATCATGTCTCACCAGGGCTACACACTGCAATCTCTGACAGCTTCTAACTCTGCCCTGGCCCCTGAGATCTTTTAACTGATCTTGAGTAGAGACTAATTAAAAGTGATTCTAATGTGATTCTCCCCAGGTGATTCTAATGTGCAAAGTGGAGAAGAGTTGGGGCTTTTTTCTCTCTGAATGTCAGGGCAAGGTTGCTTTCCTTTTTTCAATTAATTTTTATTGTGGTAAAATACACATATCGTAAAATCTACCGTTAGGGACATTTAGTATAGTCACAGTGTTGTGCAACCCTTACCACTATTTAGTTCCACATCATTTCATCACCCCAGAAGGAAACTCCATACCTATTAAGTCACTTCCAATTCTCCCTCCCCCCTGCCCCTGGCAACCACTAATCTACTTTCTGTCTCTATGGATCTGTCCCTTCTGGACATTTCATAAACAGAATTATATAATATGGGGCCTTTTGTGGCTGGCTTCATCCAGTTAGCATGTGTTCAAGGTTCACCCACGTTGGAGCATGGATCAGAACTTCATTCCTTTGTATGACCAAATAATATCCCATTCTATGGATATACCATAATTTGGTTATCCATTCATAGGGTTGCATTTTATTGTAGTTTAAATATTTGACTCTGGTTAAATTGCTAGGAATCCTTTTGTGTATAATAGTTGTTGACTGAAATAAAACATTGGTGTTTCTCCTGTCTGGGTTTTAGAATATCAGCTATGAATAGAGCCGAGAGGCAGCCAGCCGGCAGGAAAGCAAGAGGCAGAAAATACAACCTGGTTTCCAGGAAACGAGGGCCTGGGGTCAACGAGGCTATTATTTGTCACAAGCTCCTGAGTAAAAAGGGAAAACTTCAAATGATCCTGACCATAAAGGCATGTTCCATATGGGGTGGTGTAGTGACGGTTCCCCAGTGCTCAAAGGAAACCGCTGGGAGAATGAACACTGGGAAGACGCCGCTTTGTTGACAAGCTCCCTCCCTGGCAGAGAGCAACTTGGAAATGTCACAGCTGCTTTTCACCGTTGGTTCACCCGTCTGTCCCCACCCTTCCCGGCTGACAAAGCTGCTTGCTGCTCCTCCCCACCACCTTCTCAATACCAGTCTTTGTTAAGAGCCTAAGGCCGTTGGGTGAGAAGCCATGACTTGATTTGGTGTGTAGACAGGAGGTCAGAGGAAAATCTGTGTATCTAAATTGGATGTGACCTTGCGCTAACTATCAGCTATGGACTTTCAGTGTCTATCTGCTCAGGTGAGTACCTCCCCTGATTCGATTGCTCTTGTAGCCTTTGACCCTGGTCGCACCACCCACTCCCCCCAATTCTGACACCTCCTTTTCTGGGGACACTGCTTTCTCCTCCCACATCCCTGTCCTTTCTCAGCTGTCTGTGGATACCTGCTCCTTAATGCCCGCTGTCCCCGTGGTCTTGTCCTTGGCCCTTTCTCCCTCTTACATGCCATCTCCTGGGACAATGCTGTCCCCTCCCATGGCTTTAATGCCAGCTCTGCCCCCTGCCCAGGTTTCCTCTGAGCTCCAGACCTACTGAACACCCCCACTGGATGGAACCCCAAAATCAGACACGACTGGAAGGGGAATCAGACAGGCAAATAATTTTTTAATATAAAAAAATCTCACCAACTTTTCCTCCTGCGCCTCCATCTAGAGGTCCTGCCAAGCTCTATCTCAGCTGGTGGCACCACTCAGCACACCAGAAACCTGGGACTCACGCTCTACTCCGTCCTTTCCTCTCCTTCAGCCCCCACGTCCAGGCATCGGAGACCTAACAAGTTTACCCTTTTAGGTGACTTTTTAAAAAATCTTGCTCATTTAAAAAAAAAATTAAATATACAGAAAATTTATAAGAATAGCACAATGAATTCCCATATACTCTTCACCTAGAATATTGTTAACATTTGGCCACATGTGTGCTCTCTCTCTCCCCATATATATGTTATTGTTATATCTAAACCATTGGAGAGGAAGTTACAAACATCATGCCCTGTCATACTTAAATACTTCAATGTGTATCTCCTGAGAAAAAGGACACTTTCTTATATAACCACAATATATTAATAATTATCAAAGTCAGGAAATTTAACAATACTGTTATCTAATATATAATCAATATTCAAATGTATATACTCAATCTCAAAAGATCTTCCTAAAGATTGCTTTTTAATTATAAAGGGGGAAATGGTAACATTACAATGAAGAAACTTATCAGATATCACCTTAACCACATGATCCAAGTTTTGACCCATAACAGGACAACTGACATGTGTGCCTCCTGACATGACACACCATGGAGGACACAACGTGACTTCTGGGGTATTCATGCCAAAATGTACAACCTGATTCTCATTGTGAGAAACCCCCAGACAAGCCCAGATTGAGGAACATTCTATGTGCTATCATGCTACAAGGTCTACATGCTTCAGAAATGTCAAGTGCATGAAAGGTCTAAAGAGATGCCACAAAGAAGTGCAGTAGGTTACCTAGATTGAATCCTGGATCAGAAAAAAATGCCATCAAGGATAGACTGAAGTTTGTCTTAAACTAGGCACAACTCTTGTGCAGACCTACAGCTTGTGACTGTACCCCTCACTGGCCTTGTTTCTCCAGGCTCGCTCTCCAGCCCTCTCCTCTCCACACCTAGTGCACACCACATCCAGACAGTTCCTTGCAGAAAGTTCTCCAGTGGCTTCTGGGGCCTCCAGGGTAAATCTCGAGCTCTGTAATGCAAGACACTCGACCCTGGTGACCCCACCCACTTCTCCAGGCTTTGCTTTCCCCAATAACCACCTGTCAAAACTGTGGAGGGTTGGAGCTTTTATCCTGTAAGCTAACAAGTTGGTCTGCCACAGTTTCATGGATACTAGCAGAAGACGCGAGATTCCTGGGTCAGAGACAAAGGATAGTCTAATACTCATAACAGTGCCCACAGTAACATTGGTACCAGTTTCCCAAGCTTCAATTCCACAGAATGATGTAATGAGGGCCAGGTGATGCTAGCACATGCACACTGAGCATAGCATCATGGCTGAGAAACTCAAGGTTTAGGAAACCTCAATCTTATAAAGGGGGTGGCTAGCAAACCTGCCCAACATTTGCCCCTGAAGATGTTATCTTTATTATATTGACAGCAAACAAATCTGCTCTTTTCCCAGGGGGGGGAGATATTATCACTGTCACCCAAGACTGTTTGCTACATAAACATCCTTGAAAAGCAAGTCTAGAGCAAAAGCTGCCAGTGCCTCTGCTCACACATGTGCTGCAATGTGAGAGGCTGGTGGAGAACTGTCTCCCAACACGACACTGCAGACGCTGGGCTGCCGCCACCTGACTCTCTAACTGCACCTTGTGCTATCACCTGCTTTTGGGGGTCCCTGTCGCCGGCGATGCGATGCCATCCTGACCCCTAAAACACACACCACCCATGCACATAAACACTCTCCTTGTCCTGCTAGCTCCTTTTTCTTTCAAGAGTTAGCCCCTTGCTCCCAAACTGAGGTTATTAGTCCCCTATGTGTTCCAGGACGCCAGCACACACTATCCGCTCCATTGTAGTGACCTGTCTGCATGTCCACACATCGAAGGTTACACACTGCCACGACCAGCCCACAAAGGGAATCACTAGGGACTGGTCGAAAGAATAATCCAATCAGTGAATAGACTGTTATTTTATAGCTGCCAACAGTTTCTTCCTGTCACCTGAGGTGGAATCAGATGTAAAAACGATGACGCTGGAAAGCTGGCATGGGGACAGGGGCAAGGAGACTCACGAGCATCTTCCACGCTCTGGGGCAGGCCCGCCCGGTGCTGTGGCGTCTTAGCTCCGCAGACGCGAGGCTGGCACCGCCCAGCCTTCCTGTGGAAGCGGAAGCGGAAGCGCAGCCCTCGCCATAGCGCTCCAAACGCGGGCACTTCCGGCCGAGCTGCCCGGCGTTCCGTATAATGATCCAGCGGTACAAACTGGGTGAAACCTTAGCGGGTCTATGCCCTAGCAAAGAACATTGTTTTTCTAAATAGTTTAGGCTGTCGTAGGCGGGATTGTTGTTGCCCCACGTGAGATGTCGTTTCAGACGAAGCCCGTGCTCTTCAACTGGGGCGATTTTGCCCCTCAGGGGACACGTGGTAATGTCTGGAGATATTTCTGGTTGTCACAGCTGGGGGGATGCTAAGGAACAGTCTACAGTGCACAGGACAGCCCCCTACTACAAAGAATTATCTGCCCTGCAATGCAGAGGCTGGGAAGCCCTGGGCATTTGTGATAGCCCCACTGGGCCACATGGAAGGAAGGACGAGACTACACTTATAGAGGAGGTTTTTCTTGAAGGAATTGGATGCTCTCAAGGTCTATTGTCCTGGGGCAAGGGAAAGGAGTGGGAGTGTGGCCTCGGGGAAGGGGGAACATAGTCAGATGGGACTGCAGTCCACTGGAATGAACTGATAGATAACAAATGTATCTGTTTTGGATTTTCCTTTTAGGTTGTAATTGCCTTGTTCAGTTCCCAGGAGCTTACCAACACCTAGTAAGTTTGTTTTTTTCTTTCTTTTTTTTTTTTAAGCTACCATTTAATGAGCACTTTTTATATGCCAGGAATCGTTCTACATCAGGGGTTGGCTAACTTGTTCTGCAAAAGGCCAAACAGTAACTTATTTCAGGCCTCTCGAGCCGTACAGTCTCTGTCACTACCACCCAACTCTGCTGTCATCCTGCAAAAGTGGCCACAGTAAATATGCAAATAAATGTGCATAGCTGTGTTCCAGTGAAATTTTATTTATAAAAACAGGTAATGGGCCACATTCAGCCCCTAGGCCATAGTTTGCCAAGTCCCATTCTATATGTCTAACATGTACTATTTACTTCAATCTGCCTAACAACCCTATGACACAGGTACTACACTCTCATTTAATAGATGAGATAACTGAGGCGTGTGCCTCATAACTGACTAACATGCCAAAGTCACACTGCCAGTAAGTGGCAAGGCTGAGCTCTGAATCATGAGGGTTCACACTCTCCGTGACAGCAGCCTCTCTGCTCTCAGAGACCCCAGAGCTGGGCGGTGGCATTGCCAGGAGGTGGCAAGAGGTGATCAGCACATAGGCTTTGCACGTGGCCCAGAGCTGCAGGTGAGAAGCAGCAATGGAGGGACTTGTGATTTTGTAAACACTCCCTGGGGAATCTGGGAATAAGCAAAAGAGGGGCTCTGATAAAAGACAGGAACTCTCTGCAGCTCCCCAGATGGAGCCCGAACTAAAGTGAAGGCTGAGTGGCCCCTGAACTTTGACCTGATGACCTAATATTTCACTTAATAGCGTTCACAGTGAAGAAGTCCTTTCTGATTTCTAACCTATAGCACTCTTACTGTTATTTAAAGTCTTCCCTTATAGTTAAAAAGCTTGGTTTTTGGTGGTTCTTCTCATATCTGAAGACCTTCATCCAGGCTACTTCTGTCTTTTTTCTAGAGAGGCATGAAGTGGGAAAGACTTTGGAAGCACCTGCCCAAACTGCCAATCCCAGCGCTGCCACCTATTAGCTGTGTGTACTTGGGCATATTTCTTAGATTCTCTGGGCTTCACTGATAAAATGGAAGTAACAAAACCTATCCCCAGGGCTGCTGTGAGGATTCAATGTTATAGCACACGAGCAGTGCCCAGACCCTGCTCTGGACTCTTGTGCATGCTGGTTCTCAGCCCCTCCTTGCTGAATAGTCTCAATTTTTCCTTCTTTTCTTAGGGGCTGGTTTCCAATCTTTTAGAGCCAGGTCTCCCTTTCACTTCACTGAATACAAATCTAGAGTTCCCTGTGTGTTCCTTTTACTTCTAATAAGATATGCAAAGGTGATGTGGCATTTTGTTTCAGACTGCTTTAACCTCTGAAACCCTACCTTCCCAGATCAAGTGTCACCTCCTCCCTAGTGCCTTCCCTGACTCACAGAGATTTATTTAATTATTTTGACTCCCAGAGATTTAAAAAAACAACAACAAAAAACAGATAAGCCATTCTTTCCCTATTCAACAAATGTTTCCCAAGCACCTGTCCCCAGGCCAGGCTGTGTGCATCTGTCTGCCTGTGCAGCCCCTGTGGAAAGGCCCCCCTTCTAGATAACTCTTCCTGAGGCTAGAAATGGCTCCCTTGTCCCCCATGGAGGCCCTAGAACACTGCCCCACAAGGAGCAGCCTTGAGCTCAAAAATCAACCATTGACAGGAAAAATTCTGCAGTGATAATCGGACAAGTTAGCCTTCCCTAAAAGCAAACTGTTGGCTATTAACCCAAGAAGTACCCATGCTGATGGGGCAGTTATGTGGAAGGAAGCATTCAATTCCTGCAGTTCTCAATTTTTTTCCAGGCTATCCCAAGTTTTCTGATCAGACACCCTTGCACACTCAGTGCTACTCAGTGATGGGGACACTCCCTGCTTCCCTCCTGCTGATGGGCAAGTTAAGCCTCATAAACAAAAGGTTTATCAAGAGCAGGAGACTCTTGGAAAACTGCCATCAGGAAACAGAGGAGCTGCTTTAAGACTTCACCTAAGCACAGCTCCAAGCCTCGAGCTGCAAACGCACAGAGGTGCGACTCAGAAACCAGCTGAGAGGCCCACTTGCATTAACTGGCTGGGAGATGCAGGTGAGCGTGCTGAGTTGAAATGCATCTAAGAACACTGGATACACAGATGAATACAGATGTGGGCATGCAAAGGTTCCTCAGTCCTCCTCAGTCAGTCTTTGCAGCCTGGGCTGTCACATGGTATTTGCTCACTAGATCACTACGTCCTGTTCCTGCAGTCCAGGGCCACTCGCCCCAATACCCTTTCTTGGCACGCTTCTGTATTTACATACGTTCTCTCTGCAACGTGCTGCTTTCCAAATCCAATCCCCGCACTCAGCTGTCTGTCCTCTTCCTAGGAGGTTTATTCCTATGGGGATTCACTCAGGCTTGTTCCTAGGGGAGCCCTGACATCCTCCCAGCGTGTGTTGCCAACAGTAACGATCACTGAATTCTATTTTTTTTTTTCCCTAGTAACCACACTGGTCTTTGATCCACATTTCCCACGAGCGTGTCCCAACAACGGAATCAAATACTTATTTATGTCAACAAGTATTAAGTTCATTGTGTTTCCTTTAACCACTAAGCCTGTTATCCTGATGAGAAGAAGAAAAGCGAGTTAATTTGGCACAATTTGTTTCTGGCAAATGTACATTATTTATGTTTTTTTTAAAAATCCCTGCATTTCCTCAATGGCATGATGTGTGGTACAGGGCACACAACACTTGGCACAAAATAAGCATCCGCCAGATGAGCTGGAAGGAGCATCCGGTGGGAAGCAAGCCATCCAAGTTCTTGCTCTACTCTCAAGCCCTTTTGGGGCCAGTTGGCAACTCTGAGTTTTCCTGGCCTCATTTATACGTCAGGGCAGGCCTTGGCTACATCAGCTTCTCCTCCCCAACGAGGACGCACTGGGCAACAATGGGGGACCAGGTGCCCATGTGAACACTTTGTGAAGCCCCGTACAGATGGGCACTCATCATGATCAGGCCGTGATGAGGGCAATTACAATGTTAGGTGTCTGCATATCTGGCCAAATTGTATCAACAGGTCAGGATCTCCGTTGCCCCTCCCTTGGGTCAGATTCCCCTCCACTTCCCCCTCATCTGTCTGCTTTTCCTTCCTCCTGTTTTCCACTCAATCCACTGTCCACCCTGCAGCCAGGAAGATCCTTCTAAAATGCTAATCTAAACCTATCAGTTTCCCACTTAGAATGCTCCAGCCATTCCCTCCTGCCTCCAGAATGGGACCCTGACTCCTTACTGACTGGCCCCACTCCTCACAGTCTGGCCCCCAGCCCCTTCCCTCCTCACTGAGATCCTCGGTAATCCCCAGAACATACCAGCATCCTAGCTGATCATTGCAAAGATTGTCCCTTTGTCCCAAATGCCCTTTCATACCCTGCCCTTTCCCTGGCTAGCTCTTTGGTGTCCTTCAGGTCTCAGCTTGGACATCACCTCCTCCTTGAAGTCTCCTTCAATCCTTGTCCCAAAACACTGAGTGAGGTCTCTCTCCTCTGTATTGTAAGGTCCTGCTTACTTGCTGTCTCCCCATATTCTCAGTCCCATAATGGCAGGGACCATGCCTTATACATCATTTTCTTGGCACTATTCTTGCCATTAGTCCAATATTTGGCACTTAATACTCAATAAATATCTGTGGAATGAAATGTGAACCAATTATCTCAGGCAAATTGAAAGCTTTGGTTTTTACATCTGCCTTTGATTAAGTGGGAAAATTTTAACTATTTCATTATTGCATTAATTTGTTAAAAGCCAAACCATTTAAACCATGGTATTCATGGTGGGGATGGGGGCAGGAAAAAAAGAGTGGTGAAAACATGCAGTAGCACTGTTCTAGATAAAAATTCCAGAAAGCTATTTGTTACAACATTTTGGCTTAGGATCAGGAAAAAATATCCACAAATTAGAAGGGCAACACCAAAGTGATCCTTTAGCTTTGTAGGTCATGAAAGAACAGACATTGACTCAAGTTGCAAGCACCAATTTTCCTTGGGCTTCCTGGTAGGCAAAGCTAAAAGGGGAAACAGTCATTTGCATGACTGCCTCAGGCCTGCTACAGAACTTTGTCCCACAACCTTGAGAGTCACCTTTTCTCCTTTCTCCATTTCTCATGCAGTTCCCAGAAGATGGAACACCAAGGAGGGGCCACGTTGGTGACATTTGCCAATGTCACCATGGCCTTCCATAAATAAATCTCTCATCACGACTGAGATTTTGTTGAGCCACATGTCCTGGAAGGAGGGGACAACATGAACCACGTGCCCCAAACCTGCAGGCATCTTTATGAGAGCTGGATGTGTTCCATTCATTTCACCCAGAAGTCATTGCACCTGATCTCGTCACAAGTTAATGATTGCAAAATCATTTGAAGAGAAGAGCTAAATGAACCATTTTATTTAGACTTATACCAGTTCTGAGTCAACATTTGTAGACACAAGGAGGTGGTAGCTAGTATTTGTTCCTTCCTGGTTGGTATAAATCAAATGCCTGTCAGGTTATTGAAAGCTTGCTCCTTAAAGAAATACTTTCTCAACTAAAAAATAGCAGCTCAGTTACTTTGTTTCTAAATACTTGTGACACTGACGCAACACCACCAAAAAAGTACATGTGAAGTGTAAACTGACTGGAAGTCAGGAAGAGCTATAGGTCAAGATCTAATATAAATATGATCCCCCATTGTTCCGGTACACTGTGTCAGACAAGGTGCATGCTAGCCAAAGTTTTTATGCTTTTTCCTCCACTGTTTTCACAATTGTTGGAATTAATCATTTCAGTCCCTTCTGTGCATTCTTAGTATCCAACACACTGCTTCTCAGCATTTGGGGAAAACTCCCATATTCCATTGTTTCTCAATGCCACTGATTATATACCCCAATTTCAGATATGCTAAAATGTGGGAAGAGTGGACATCTTACAACCAATAAAAAAGGGTCTTTGCAGCAGGTGCTGTCTTTCTTTCCTGGCCCTGTGGCATGGCCTCTGGGCAGTGCAGCAGGGCCTGCACCCTTCCCCCGCAGCTACCCCTGCAAGGGAAACAGGACTTTCTCCCTCTGTGACATGAGATCCTGCTGAAACATTCTCTGATTCACTCTCTTCCTTGTGGAAACTACTTTCTAGTTCCTGCCTGCAGCCACCTTCACACACCTGCTTTGAATTCAGCCTTTTTACTCTAAAGCTTTCCTTTGAGGCGGGTTCACAGGGAAGCCCGCTGGCTCCTCCCGGTACTCAGTACTTGGATGGGCTTCCCAGGGCTCCCATAGGCTCTTGGAGGGGTTGTGCCTGCCCTCCGCAATTCCGGGGATGAGGCCAGCAGGAAGCAGAAAGGTCAATATTGAGCACAGCTGAAGGCCTGCCGGCCCAGGGTGATGGCTCTACAGCTCCTCCTGGGCCCTTGCCCGCCCACCAGCTGCACCCAGCCATCTCGGGCTCCACCTTGCCTCCAGTGGGGGGCCCTGCACGGGGCTAGGCTTACGTAGCTCAGAGCTCTACTGGCCCAGCCCCAAGCTCTCCCCAGCCTCAGGCCTCCCCTGCTGAACCCTGAACCAATGCTCAACCTCCATGGGCTGGACAGGGAAACAGGACATGCCTGCTCTCGGGAGACTTCAGCATGGCTGAGGTGACCATAGTCGTAGAACCAGAACTGGTCCTTGGATGCCAGGAAAGCACGAGGGAGATTATATCTGACATCACTCTGGTCTGAAGGACAAGGCTAGAAAGAACCTTCTGGCCTGTGACGCCCCTGGGACAAGTGCTTGGAGCCTTTGTGTTTTTTGTTTAATCCCCTTTTTTCCCCCACATAAAGGAAATGCTCTTTGTTTATTCAGAATATAAAAAGAATATTTCCTAGCTGTAAAAACTCACAATTCAGAAAAGTGTGAAGCAGCAGAACCTTCCCTAACAATGACAGAACCCTCACGTTTGGTACTGTAAAGTTCACAAGGCATTTCCCACCACATATTAGCTAATTTAATCAGCATTGCCGCTCTGTGAGATGAAGGGAAAGAAACAAGGATGAGCTTTGCGAGTGATCATCACATGCCAGGCCCTATGTTAGCCGCTTTCCATGCATTAGCCTATTTGATCCTTACCACAACCCTACACAGCAGAGCGGTGGTTCTCAAACTTGAGGGTGCAACACATTCACCTTAAGGACTTATTCAAACAGACTTCTGGGCCCACCCCCGGAGTTTCTGATTAGTAGGTAAGCCTGGGATGGAGCCAGGAATTTGCATTTCTAATAGTCACACATGGAGTCCCAAGTGATGCTGCGGCTGCTGGTTCAGGGACCACACTTTGAGAACCACCAAAGCAGATGCTGTGACTCCCATTTTGTAGCTGAGGAACTGAGGCTCAGAGAGGTTAAGTTACTTTCCTAAGGCCAGCCAGCCAGAAAGTCACCCAACAGATATTTCCACAGAGGTCTGTACCCTTTTTACTTATGCCTCCTGGTTTTCTGCAGCCACTATGCTGGTCTTTAGAAACTAATGCTAGCCTCCTTGTCTTTCCACTCAGCTGTGAACACTAAAATGTAGGCGTTTGGGCAGCTACAAGCCAAGATCCTTGAGGAAACACACAAACCTCAATTCTGCAACTCAGGAAAGATGAGAAATAATTATGAGTGAGTGGCCCACACCACATTGAGACAGACCCTGGATGGTACAACTTCAATTAGAAGTTACTGGAACTATAGCTCATTTAATAAACGAGAGGAGGTCAGATGGCTACCAGCCTCAAGGGAAATCTTTGGCTCACAGGGAGAGGAAGTCAGTGTGTTGGTATGAAAAACATGCCTGGCCTTTTCTGGCTCCCAAAGAGCACTTCTCGCCTCCTATGCACTCTGAGGATGGTAGCTGGAGGAGCAGGGAGAAGTTGCTGGTGTGTTCTGAGTTGGCCAAACCTCTCTACCTTTGCTAAAGATGGGAAAGCTCCTTAATTAAACCAGCCTTTCCATTGCACATGATCTCTAATGCCATTTTAAGTTCTCCCTTTAGCCCTAACTACAGCCTGCCTTTTATACTACAATTCAGGTGTGCGGTCACGCAGGGCCTTTATCGCTGCTAAATAGAAAGTAAGGAGTTTGTCTCCTAGCCTCCTCCCATGCATTCCATTTCTAGTTCTTAGTGCTTGGGAAGGGGTTGGAAAGGAAAAGTTCATTTATAGCAAATAAATATTCCAGCAGATGTAGAACAGAAGGCAGGTAGAGGTGGGGCTTGGAGGACCTGAGGGATATGAAAATGAGGTTTGCCCAGTGGAGGATCCGTCCTGATTTCCAAAGGAAATTCTTTAAAAGGTGGACAGTCTGGGAGAGGAGCAAGGAGCACATGTGAGGAATTCACAGCAGTGCTTGGGTCACACTTGAGGCCCCAGACCCGAGGGCTGTCCAGCCACGGCAGAGAAGCTAGTCAGGAGGACCTGTGAGTGGCCACGGCCACATCCAGCCATGCATCACCCTAGGTCAAGCCACCACCTTCCCAGAGCTCCCTGAACCGGGCCGGAGGGGCTGATCTCGTGGATGCCCTCTGGGGCTGTGGCTCGGGGAGAGGTGGGGTTCACGCACCCTCCAGGAGGGGGGCTTGGCATCCATGTTTCCTGCCATACCATCTCCTTTAAGGTTTGTCTTGCTCGTCCCAGAGCTTGAGCAAACAGTGCTATTTATCTATTTCTGAACTAGCTCCCATCCAAGGAGCATCAAACCAACATCTGATATCATCAGGGACGGAGCACCGTGCCCATTCCCTGCTCACATGATATGTTCTTGGGTCTAGTTCCAATACAGTCATTCTTTTTGGTTGCTGTGTTATTCTGAACACACTGGGGGTTTTTGTTTTATTTAGTTTTGTTTTTTCTTGGGAAGGGCTAAAAAAAAAACCCAAACTGTTAGGGTAAGGATGACTCTCCCAGATAGCTAGAATTTTTTAACTCTTCTATTGAACATAATATACATACAGAAAAATGTACCATAAGCAAACAGTGTGATGAATGGTCACAAACTGAACAAAGACCTAAGTATGCCCAACACCCCCCTCATCATGCCTCCTCCTGGTCACTTTCACCCCACGAGGGTACCTGCTATGCTACTTTTTAGCAGCATAGATTTACCTTAGCAGGTGGGAGTCTCTCCTAGCTCACAGGACTGACTGGGACTGATTTCCAGCAGGGAGGGCCCACGTCACATCACCCCCATCCTCCCCCATGAAAGAGCCTCAGCGATTCTAGGCACAGCAGATATGCAGCTGCTGCTTCAGCTGCCCAGGAGGAGCACAGCGGGGCAGGGCTGCCCCATCTTAGCTGTCAGATGGTCCTCTTTTCCCCAGTGGGCCACCCCTGAGGTCAGTCTGGTGACTCAGTGATGGAGGCGGGGGTGGGGGCGAGTACAGCTCCCTTTCCTTGCGCTTCTAGAAGTCCTACCATGTGCGCCAGACAGTGGGAGGCCCCTGGAGCTGGATGACTCAGCAGTGTCTACGTGCAGAGAAGCTAGTTCTGTACCCCAGGAAATCCAGTGTGTGGCATTTGGTTGGACTTGCCCTATTCAGTGCGGCCCTTACTTTTTGGAAACCATCTCCCCCCAGCACCTGTGCCAGGCCCTCTGTTTACCTATGCGACTCTGAGCACAGGTGCCGCCTGCCAGCCTGGACCTGTCTGCCCCCTTAGCTGTCCTCCCTCTGTCCTCCCCCACTCGTCCCCGCTGAGGGCTGACTCCACATCGTGTGCACCCATTTCACTAATAACAAACCGATTTGCCTCTGTGCTGACCCCATGCATGTCCAGGCACCATTAGACTCTGCCCTCTGCTTCCTCAGCAAAGAGCTGGAGGAGGGACAGAGGGCCGGCCAGAGCTGGCGGTCAGGAAGAAATGCTTCTTGACCCGTCAACACAGCTGCATACAGAAGCCTCCCTTGGGGAACGCCATGTCATGACCAAGTGGCAGTTAAGTTTATCCTCCCACACCTAGATGTGACATCTTTCTGTTCCCTGTAACCATCTCATTGTGCCCAGGGCAGGCTGTAACAGCGGCAGAAAGCCCTGCAGAGACTTGATCTGTGCTCCCACTACACCTGCCAGGCCAGCAGAAGAGGTAGGGCAAGTTTCCTCTGCCTCTGGGGCCAGGCAGGTCTCGGGAACCAGGTGGTCAGTGGTCCCCTGACAGGGTGTGCATAAGAATCGCTTGGGGAGTGTGTTAAAAATACAGGATTTCCAGGTCCCCTCTGTCCCCCAGGCGCAGGCTGAGGCTCAGAAATCTGTACTTTCAAAAAGCACTCCAGGATGATTCTGATGTGGGTGACCCCACGCCATTGTTTGAGGAACACTGATCTAGACAACCCCTCCCCCGGGCTGCAGATGGGGAAAGTGTGACCCACAGGGCTCGAACAGCTTACGGGGGCTCAGTCAGAATAAGGCCCAGGACGCAAGTGCCAGCTTCCATCCGTGCCTCCCACCTACCACGCAAGGAGCCTGCCCACCGGCTGCAGCCCGGACTGTGGATTCTTCCTTCACCGGGTCTCCTGCCCTGGCCTCCCTCCTACTGCCATCACCGTGAACTGGATGTGAAGTCACAGAACGGGGCTTCCACAAGGGCCAACACCATCCTGCCTCCCCCAGCCCCTGCCACCGGTGGCTCTTCCTGAGCACAGATTTACTCCCCGCCCTGTCCAGAGAGCCCACGGCTCCCTGTAACCCCTTCTCCACATGCTGCCCTCAAATACCACCTGGCTCTTTCTGGCCTCCGCGCACGTGACGCCATCATCGCCTTGGCCAGCAGCAGCTCCTGCCCCCTCTCTGAATCCTCCCCATCTCCCAAGGCCCAGGTGAATGCCCTCCTCCTCCAGGAGGCCTTCCCTGACCATCCGGCCCTGGCGCTCTCATCCTCCGCTGAGCAAGCAGAGCACTGAGCCATTTGTTTATTATCAGTGGTTATTACCTGTTCGGCTTTGAATTGTGG